TGTTGCTAGGAGGCTTTGATTTTATCAAACCTCTAATAAGTTCCCATTACTTTTGATCCAGGACTATCATTCAATCATCATTGATCATCCTTGTAACCATTAACAATTAACTTCTAACTTCTAACACATTAACAATTAACTTTACGTTATGTCTTTACTTTATGAATTTTACTTTATGTCTTTACTTTTATGCACTTTTATCTTTAGTATTTACATCTCATATTATTTGCCTTTTGCTCACTTGAGTATTTACTTTATGTTCTTTTATCTTTGCTCACTTGAGCTTTTTTTTTTTTTAAAGACACTTAATAGCCAACTTAAACATTAAAAGACTTAAGCATCTCTTTATAGACTATTGGTTATTATCCTTGGCATATTAGAGTTGTGTATTCTTTGTACTTAGGATTAGAAGCCTTGCTACCTTGTAACCTTGGTACCTTAATGCCTTATTGTTATTCTGACTGAAGTCCTTGGGATTTACTCCAAGGCATTGATTTAAATTTTCTGTGTGCAGGTTATTCTAATTTCTATGATTTTTCTGAAGTCCTGGGAGGTTACTCCAAAGCATTGTGATTGAGAATTTCTCTATATATAATTGTTACTCTGACCAATTTTATCAATGAATACTTGTTTGATTCTTATTTCATATGAGGTTTGATTTTATCTTGGTATTATGCTAGCTTGGTTTTTAATCCAAAGGATGAAAATTCCACATTGATTTCTTTATGTCAAATGTTGACTTCTTATTGGTTATATATTTTCTTACCCTAGCTTTTACTTTGTGTACATAGGATAGTCCCTTCATCTCCTCTCATCTTCTTTAATTTCAAAATCTTCTCTCTCCTTTTCAAAACTTCTTGTTTTAAAATTTGAATCGCTTTCATAATAAATTTGAACTTAAGTCCATACATTTTTAAATTATTTTTCTTAATTAAATCTTCAATAAATTTAATCATACTTTGACATCTTTTTTTAGAAGACTAAAAGTCGTTAACCTCATTCAAACTTTTTGTGCCTCGGTGCACTTTTTCCTTTAACCTTTTCAAAAAATTTAAGATATAAGTCTTTTCTTTGAGTGTTTGCAATCCTCGTCACTTTAACAAGCATGGTAATATTTAAATAACTTTCCACTTATATATTGAGAATCGCACTGTTGAGTTGATTCAAACTATAAGTTCTCCATATTAAAGATGAAGCAAGTTCTCTTTTTACCATAATTGTTATAGTTTATTGATTTTTCACTCAAATAAGACGAAATGTCTTTTACGTCAAAACCAATCATAACAAACCAATTTTAATCTTTTTTAGAACAACTACGAGTGTCATGATCCTCTATTGCATAAAGGAGGTACGTAGGCACAAAGGTCCGCAACCACGCGGGTGCAAAAATTATAAAAAATCATTTTTTTTTCTCATCTTCGCCATCTACTTTGTAAATATTTCTTTTATATCTAAAATACACAGATGTTCAAAGAGGTTCATGTGGAGTACCGTAGATGTTTAAGATTCTGATACCTTTCATTTGGATAATCAACCCCTTTACCTCGATCTCTGTTTCACTTTGGGTTTATTCGCTCTTTTTCCATTCCTTTGAATAAAATAAAAGTGTGGTAACGATTTTCATTGATTTTGTGAGTTAAGTCAACACAATGGCTTAGTCTCAATATTTCTACCGATATAGTAAACACGTCTAAAACTAAAGTAAAAAGGTAAATTCTATTGCTATAAAAAATTGTGTGTGTCTCTCAGTCATGTGTCTGCACACTGATGGAGATCCCTCGTACATATCTTAGATAATTTGAATATAAGAAATCCTAACTCATTTCTTCTCTAAATTTTTCAAGTGACCTCTCTATGTACTATATCATATGTCTTCTCCAAGTCAATACAAATTAAGTGCACATCTTGTTAACGCGTCTTATACCACTTCATTACACATCGTAGCAAATAGATTGTTTCGTGTTCAACCTCTCCAACATAAAACCAAATTGATTAGAAATTCTCCTCCCTTTTGTGAAACTTCCATTACATATACTATATCTTACTTCTTTTTAGGCGAAAGTCATGCGCTTATAAAATTTATCATCGAGTTTTTAACCTCATTTAAATTCTCCTTTGACTCTTCAAGTAGAACTATATCATCTATAAAAAATATATATATCTTAATGCTAGCTCTATAGTGTGTTTCATAAGCACATCTAAAACTAAAGTAAAAAAATAAATTCTATTGCTATAAAAATCGTTTGTCTTTTCATCATTTGTCTGTACACCGATGGAGATCCCTCATACATATCTTAAATAGTTTGAATATAATCAATCCTAACTGATTTCTTCTCTGAATTTTTCAAGTGACCTCTCTAAGTACTATATCATATGACGTCTCCAAGTCATTGAAAATTAAGTGCATATCTTGTTAATCCATCTAATACCACTCCATTTCAAATCGTAATAAATAGATTGTTTCGTGGTCAACCTCTTCAAATAAAACCAAATTGATTATTTATAGCTCTAGTCTATTTTCTTAATCTTTGAATAGTCATTTTTTTCATAACTTCATGGTATAAGTCATAAACTTAACCCCCATGTAATTTGCATTATTTTGTAATCCCTTTTTATTCTTATTAAGGTGTTTCTTCCCCATCTATTGAATATTTGCTTTAACCTCATAATTTTGTTAAAAAATTTGATGAATCACTCAATACCTCTATCTCTAAAAAATTTCCACACTTTGATTTGTTTGTTGTCTAATCCAAACGCCTTGCTTTACTCATCCTTTTTAACGCTTCTTTTACCACATTTTTTTTAATCTGACAATAGCAATTATAATTTCAATCTCCAATGTCCAACTTGTTGGAGTCTAGCGAAGTATCATCTCTTTCACTAAATAAATTGTAGAAATAATTCTTCCATCTATCTTTTTCCTAAACTAAAGTTTTTGTCTTCTTCATCTTTTTAACTCACTTTAATTGATTCAAATCTCTTGCCTTTTATTCTCTTCTCTTAACAAACCTATATACAAATGTTTCTCCATTGGTTCATAAAAATTTATATAATTCATCAAAAGCTTAAATTATTGTTTCACTCACCACCAAAATTTATCATCCAAACAAATCCTCCTATCTAAGTTCTCAATAAAAAATCTAAAAACATGTCACCCTATTCTTATAAGTGATAAAATGCTCCTTTATTTTCCTTTAGGAAGATCAAAATTTGTCAAAAATCTAAAATGGATTTACCCTACAAATTTATCTCTCTAAGATCATACCCACGTGAACGCCTTCAATACCTCTTGATACACTCCCTATTTGTCCATTTAGATTCACTCTTCTAGATTTCTGCTAAGTTAACTTAAGATGCATGCATATAAGCACTACAAATGTTTAGTAACCACAAATTTCAAGGTTATGATCTAATCTCTTATCCTTTTTACATCCACAATATTCTTACTCATTGTCTACAATAATTCTAACCCTAGCCCTATTTTTTTATCTAACACGATGTACCAAAGCTATAAAATCGATCCAAAAAATTATAATATTAAGCCCATAAAATCACCCATTCCAGGTCAGTTTGTACCCTCAACAACAAACCTGCTATTACATAACAGTTTTGATTGTGGTGAATGATCGGCATAGATTGCTAAAAAATCTTTAGTTAGGAGATACTATTTGTTGAGTATTGGAGCTATCCACCTACAGATTGGGTATGGTGCAAGCAGACAAACAATAGTGTTTTTTGTTGCCCAGATAAAAGAAAAAGGGGATTTAATTTTTTTAAAACTGTTTAAAAGAGTAAAACAAAATACAGCCACATTGCACACATAGTAGAATGAACCATTGAACTAAAATCAAATATTTTCAACCAGTGTTTCCAATTCCATATGATTTCCTCTAAAAACAATTCACTTCAAAAAGAATCTAATCTAATTTAATAAATAAAATGTATCTCTCTTATTACTCACTCACTTTCACTTTATTAAATACCAAGAATTTTTAAATAATATGCTTAAGGTTAAAAAACCGCCGTGAAATTTTTTGTATGCACTTAAGTGTAGCCATCAAATGGAAGTATGGTTACAGAATCTCGTGTATAATAATAGCATTAACATGCCTAAAATCAGAAGTGCTTCAATTATCTGAAAATAATGTTGTATCGAACTAATGAAGACATTGCAGCAAAGGGCAAACTCTAAAAATATAAGTGCAATAACAGCATAAACATGCACAATCAAGAAAAAGGTGCAAATAAGCATGAATATCATAAATAAATAATTGCTCTGCAAAGCAACAATTAGTTAAGATAACCACGCTAGAATAATAAAAATAATATCCGTATTACTCTAGCACACAACCAATGTACATATATAACAACACATCTGTACAAAATACATACAGCTGCATCAACTCAAAATGGGCCAATTTGGAGAATTCCATAAAACATAAAACTTCACCTGATTTGAAGTTCAAAATATAAGTCTGCACATGTTCTGCTCACCAGGTCATCTAGAGTTGACATAAATTCATCTAACAATTGACCAGAAAGCTAATTTAGTATCAACCTCATGATTTGATTAATAATATATCACAAGACCTTCGAGCCAATCTACTTCAAATAAGAAACTAAACGCCAGCAACCACCTCAAAAGACTTGAAGAAGAAATAAAAGAAAGCAAACAAGAAAACATAAACCAATATAGCCCTCAAAACAATATAAGGAAATAGAAAAAAGCACCACCATAAAAATGCAAAATTCCCAACAAAGGGGAGACAAGTATTACCAGTAAATATAGAAGAATGTCTGCATAGAGTTCTACTCAACAGATTAGCTCAGAAATCGTCATTTATCCAATTCGGCTGCCAGCATTAAAGATAGACCACATCAAACATTTACCAAAAAAAACAAGTAACATAACATTTGCAAAACCATGTTTTTAAAGAAGCAAAGATATTTCTGGAGAAGTTTTTAATGCATAAAACAACTTAAAATGCAGAAGTGTAGCATTAATTATTCATGCCCCTCTTTGCTTTGAGGGTTTCAAGAGCCTTATTTCGTAGCTCAATCTCAAGCTTCTTTGGATCATAGGGTGCTTCATCATCACTTTGATGAACATCCCTTCGCTCCGCTTCCTCATCTTCTGAAATAGTGTCTGTTTTACTCTTCATTTTCTGCTTTCCAGCATGCCGTTCTTCCCTTTTCCGTCGTCTCTCTTCCCTCTTTCGGTGCTTCTCCTCTTTTCGCAGCTTCTTCTTCTCCTCTTTTTTCCTCCTCTTGGCCTCTTTCCTGTCCTCTAACTCAGAATCATAACTGTCATTCTCATCAGAAGCTGCGCCTTTTTTCTCCGACCTTTTATGCTTTCTCCTATCCTTTCCATCCCTTCTATGCTTACCACTTTCTTCAGAATCATAAGAAGCACTCTGATTGACATGGTCAACTTTTCCAACTAAATCTTGAGTGACTTCTGGTTCGTGGTGCTGATCACTACTTTTGGCATGTTTTGAGTTGGATTGATCCCTGTCATCCGTTTTTTTTATTTCTGCACCATAAGAATCATGAGGCTTCTTGCTAGAAAAAAATTCTTTGCTCATTGGTGACTTCTGTTGACCAGGAGACTCACCTCCCTTGCCAGAGGATTCATCACTGCCAAAAGAGCTTACAATAATTAGAGATGTACAGCATAGTCATTTATATTAGTTAGAACATGAGCAGAAAGTTAATCATATTACCATTTAATATCCTGGCCTTTCTTACTCCTTTCATTGCTATCATAATGATTATACTCAGAAGCCAGATGACTAGCTACCCTTTCAGGATTAAACTCGTCCTCGTCATTAAATTTTGCAGGTGAACCTATTCTCTTACTAACCGGGGAGTGTCTTGATTTCTTTTCAGATGAATTTGATTTAGGATCTCTAAGCTCTCTACAAGAGAGATAGGAAAAAGATTTAAAAAAAAATAGAAACGGTGAGCTAAACCATAAACAAATCAACTACAGTGATTTACATTACACACATATGAGAGAAGTAAATGAAAGTTATCCATTTCATATTCAAACCTAGAATGATATGCTTCTTCTGTTCCTTCACTTGTCTGTGGGATGTCATGGCTAGGTATATGGTTTGTTGGCTTCTTTGGGGGACTCAAGCTTCCTTCATTAATCAACTTCTCTCTTGTTGGCCTCAGACGGATTTCATGTGGACTGAACATTTTCCAAAGCCAAATTAATATGCATAAGCTAACTGCTGCAGGCATGCAACCATGAGCAGATAAAGGTTTTGTATGAGAATTCATGGAAAATTACCTTCTATTTTTACTGCTAGTCTTACTTACTGCTTGTGGTGATATTGATCGAACTGGAGACTTATCTGGTGTGGACATTGAATCTTGTGATTTATAGCCCGAAGCTTTGCCATTTTTATCCGTCTGTATAGACCGCAAAGGGCTAGAGGATTGATAAACTTCTGGTAATTTTTTTTTTTGAACCCTGTGACATGGGTATCCCCGAAGATTTTATAAATTTCCTTGTAGAACAAACCTTATTTAAAATACCATTCTGCAAAACTTCACAGCTACATACAGGATACGGAGTAGAGCCATTATAGTATTTATGGATTTTAAACTATAAGCCTACTTCAAAATTGAATAAGAGTAAATTTTGAAATATTTCTTTTTAAAAGCTTTTATCACATTAAAAGCATGCACGCCAAAGAAAAAACGAACAAACTAATTTGAGCCTTCCCTCAAGTGTCACTATACCTGACTCTTCCCATAGAAGACTGCACGGGGCTTCTTTGATCTCTTGGTAAAGTTCTCTTGACTGGAGACGGAGATACACGAACAGGATACTGAGAACTCCAGTCATCTTGAGGAGAACTCTTAGGGGAGGAACTTGTAGGTCTTTTCTTACCAGAAACAGGTGACCTATACCGCAAGGGAGATGGAGACCTACGTCGTGGGATTAGACTATCACGCCTTTGCATTACAGGGGAATGCATTGGAGAGCTTGACCTTTGACCACGGCTTGGTGGCCTTCGGCGTATCGGTGAAGGTGACCTACGCCGCATGTTAGGAGATCTCTGTTGGATAGGTGAGGGTGACCTCCGTCTAATAGGCAATGGGGACCTACGTAGGTGCATAGGAGAAGGTGACCGGCGTTGTCGTACAGGAGAGGGAGATCTGCGTCGTTGTACAGGAGAAGGAGATCTGCGCCGTCGCACGGGATAAGGTGATCTGCGCCGACGTACTGGAGAGGGTGGTGATCTGCATCTTCGTACTGGAGAGAGTGGTGATCTGCGTCTTCGTACTGGAGAGAGTGGTGATCTGCGTCTTCGTACTGGAGAGGGTGGTGATCTCCGTCGTCGTACTGGAGAGGGTGATCTGCGTCGTCGTACTGGAGAGGGTGATCTGCGCCGTCGTACTGGAGAGGGTGATCTGCGCCGACGAAATGGAGAATGCATTCCACGTCTTATAGGAGAAGCAGATTTGGAGTCTGACCTAGATCTAGATCTTCTCCTTGAATAAGATGGCCTCCTAAGAGGAGATCGTTGAGGAGAACGCCTTCGGGGAGAAATAGACTGGCGTCGTGAAGAACGTTGTATCCTTTCAGAAGAAACTGATCGTCCACGAGCCTTCGGTGATCTGGATATACTCCTTGACATGTAAACAAAATAGACCCATTAATTCAAAATGAAAAATCCAAATATAAATTGAATATGCAATATATTACTCATTAATAAAGTCTGCAAGGGGCAAGGGAGGAACAAAATAAAGACCCTTTTGTTGGCCAAGTTGAATATCTAATATACATCAAATTACTAATTAATGCCAAAGCCACATGAACATATCAAGCCAAAGGAAACAAAGTTTTCAAGTTATACCTTGAATAACTTCGGGAATTTGAAAATGATTTACTGTTTGCCCTCGAAGGTGAGCCTCTGTCAAAGATATCAAATACCACATCTATAGCATTTCAATCCAATGTAAAAGATGGAAAATATGTTAGAAAGTATGATATTAAATGGTGGTACCGATAAGGCGAGGTGGAAACTGCAGGAGAGTGTGAGGACCTAGAAATCACAGAAGAGAGTAAAAGCAAATTAGTACTCCAGAACTCAATTAACAAGTTTTAGGTGCAGAGCCAAGTTCCCCGAGATACTCTCTGCCCAAACACCAAACCAACAACAAAATATTAATAGAGATTAAGCTAAAAGAAAATTGAAAATTACTGCTTATGGTATCACTTGAAAACTGAACAGAGGTTATTCCCACATTTATTACAATATTCAAAATATCAAATATGAAGAAATAACAAAGAATTCAAATGACTTCATAATGAGGGCAATTCACAAATTTCACATAATTTTCCTGATGCCTGGGCAATTCTATGGTTGTCAAAGAAGGTTAGGAGCACTCTGCACTTGAAGGATTTCATACGGGGTCTTAGGAAGGTTCTATAAAACTTTTTTGTTAGTTAAGTTGATATAATACCTACCAGATGGCCAAAGTGAGTTACAACTAAGATTTTTAGTTATGCATGTACTGTTAGGATTTTAGGTCCACTGCTAGAATGATGCTAGCTATTACTACCACTTTAAAATTTAGCTTATATATTGAAGTTGGACCCCACTGTGAAACTAAGTAGAAAATGCAAAGGAGACAAACATAATGACAAAAAATAAGGACTGGCCTATTTTACCTGCTCCTTAACCTGACGCCATTCCTCTTGTCAGTTTCTTTCCCATCCTGAACATAGTTCCCCGAGTCCCTAAGCTTCAAAGTTGGGTCTGAAGCAGTATCATTATCCTTTGCATCTAATCCTCCGTCCTACAGTAGTTTGAGGTAAAGGACATGAACCCAAATAATTGCAGAAGCTAGCTGAACGCAATGAAAGCACAAGCGGAAGTTAAAACCAAAATCTCAGCCCTATAAAATGTAATCCAGCAACGAACAAATAGTATTACCAGTTTCTTCAGCCTCTCCTCCATGATCTCTTTACTTTCCTTATCTTTCTTCCTCTGAATTTCACTTGATATTCTATCATTTTCAGCCTAATCCGTTCACAGGAAACAAATTCATTCAGACATCCCCAAAAATACGTAACGATAAAAGGTACTTTTAAACCCAATTAATGGTAAATCGAGACTCAAAAGTACCTTCTTTTTCAGGAGTTCTTCTTCTTTAGCATCCAAGAATTGCTGAGGAACACCACTGGCATTTTTCTGTGCGCTGAGAAGAAGTGTCCAAAGCTCTTTCATGAACTTACCAGTGTTTTTTTCCATGAAACCAGTAATTTGTATTTGAACTTCCTTCCCGTTCACTTTCTGCATCATAACAAATGGAATGCGGTAAGAAGGTAAAAAACAAAGCATTGCATTATCAAAACGTGCTTGTAAATCAATGATAGTTCATTTAGAGGAAAAGACGGCACAGTTACAGCTCAACCTAATGCCAAATAGACGTTAAGAGTAAAGTAATATAGCATACAGAATTCAACAAATCCAAATTTAATAATAAAGAAACAAACCAATGTTCAGATCTAGCAAACCAAGTACAGAATGCTGAAAGCACATGAATTCCAAGATTACCATATAACCAAAATAATTCAAAAACAATAAATTACCTTGGCATCTAGAAGACCATGTATAAAGTTAATAAGCACTTCATCTTCAAACCCGAGAAGCTCAGTCACTTTTCTGGTGATCCAAGGCCTCATTACTTCCATATTCACCTTCGTCATGTCCACCTACAAACCATTTTTCAAGCATAGCCCACATTGAAACAAAAAGATTCAGAGAGGAAGGCAGTGTGACTAATAAAAAAGATATAAATATATCAAGCTCTTATACACCATAATGCCTGTGGTTCCAGATAGCTAAAACAGTCTAAAATATTCGTCCATAAAAACCAATCAATCTGATTTACTCAAGGAAACAAACCAGGTGCTCCAATTCAGGTGCAAACTTCTGCGATTTAAGCAGCTTTGCTTGCTTGTTCGAAAACCGGGTGTCTTGATCCGCAGATGTACCCTAAATCCAAACATAAGCTAATTGACATGTTGCAATTATGATATAAAAAATTTAAAAACAGGCCATAAAAATAGTGCAATCGATACACAACTATATTATTCAGTTTATGTTTGACAATCAGTACAGTTACGGTACATGCAGGGGTGGAACAGTTTATTGAGCAACAGATTTTCAAAGTTTTGAACCCTAAATAAGATATAATTTCATAACTTTCGTACAACACTTAATTTTCATCAAATTAAAGTCACTCTAAAGATTATAACATCGAAGATCTGAGAAGTGATGATAAAACCTAGCTACGGTTCAATACAAAACGCAAATAAAAATTGAAATTACAAATTCAACGGATTGCGATAAACCTACTCGAAAGAAACCGCCCGACATCTTCTGACGGCGAGAGATTCCGAACGGAGAGGATGGTTTGTGACTGAGATTGTGGTGGCGAATTCAAGGGTAGCACTTCGATTGTGGAGAATAAGCGATTGGAAATGGATAGGTTTTGATTCTGAACGCTGCTGTATGGAGCCAAGAATTCGAGTTCGAAGTGGCTGCACTAATCAACGAATGTGTGGTTTGGTTGGGTTCAGAGCCTACTTGAAGTGCCCTAATTGACAACACGATTTACTACATCTCCAACGCTTTGGAGCAATTACAATTTTACCCACATGGAATCGTTTTTTTCTCCTTTTGCCTTATTGAGTGTTGGAGGAACTTTTTAGCTATGTTTGTTTGAAAATTTATCCTCTCACTCTTTTCCTATGCTAAGCCTTTTCAATTTTCATTTTAGTAGATGTAAGATTTTGAAGAATTTTTTAAGATGGAAAAATCTTCTATATTGATTAAGACTTTTATTTATAAATAAGTTTGTATCTTAGTAACTTGTGCTCCAATAGCATATGCTAAAGATACTTTAATTAGAGAATTTGAGTGGAATAAAATCATATTTAAAGTTTTAAAAAATTGATTGCGTATTTTAAATAAATATTTTTATAAATAATTTATTAATTTGTGTTCTTATGACACATGTTAATATTTGTTAATAAGTTTTCTGATATTTAAGTAAGATAAGTATAAGACTTTATTGACAATTTTGCGTAGTAGATATGTCCTCAGCTCATTCTCTTTTTGAAGATGATCTTTATTAGACGATAATATATGATAATTTAAGATTTTGAGTTATTAGTTTGTTGATTAGTTAGTTGTTATATTTTTCTTGTTTTTTTGTTGTAACTTTATTTATTTTTTATTATGACTTCTTTGTTATAAGAATCATGTTTTGTATATGCACTTGGTTTCAATCCAGTGTGTTTTAGATTAAACAATCTTGTTAATTCAATGAGACATATTTAATAGGTAAAATATTTATTTTGGTCATTTAACTATACCATTAGGTTCAGATTGGTCCTTTAATTTTTTCGTGTCACTTTGATCTCTTAACTTCCAAAATATTTCATTTTAGTCTTTTTTGTCAAATTAACGATGAATTTAACGACTGATTTCTAAGTTTTTCAGTCGTTAATTAGACAAAAATGACTAAAATGAACTATTTTGGAAAGGGACCAGAGTGGCACAAAAAATAATTAAGAGACCAACCTGAACCCAAGGGTATAGTTAAGGGATCAAAATGAATATTTTGTCTATTTAATATGTCATTATTTTAATATCTACGTGTAACATGGTATCAATTTGATAGAAACTTAATATTTCTTTTTTCTACAATTTTTTTTCATTAAATTGTCTTTAATTTATCATGAATTCATAAACCAACATTGTCTCCTTCAATGGATTATGAAAATTAATCAAATGATGACGACGATGATGATTTTTCAATCACGACCATCTTTCTTAAAGACTCGATGCTTAATCCGCACAACTTTTTATATTTTTATCCTAGCAAGAATCCTAAGGGAACCTGGGATACGGTGGGAGAACTGACTTTGGGTGTTTTGCGTTTTTATCACAATTGTTACGGATAGCAAGAGTCGCCGTCTATTTTTCTTTTATCCAATAAGGAAAGGGTGAAAAGAACAGGAAAGACCTTTGAGATGTTTTCTTGAGTTCGGGGGGTAGGTTATGAAAAGGGAAGGTGTTAGCACTCTTTTCATATGTAGTTATCTACGGGCTCTTAGTTGCTTGCTAAATCACTTTTGAAATTACTTTGTTTGAAATGTGTTTGTGGTGGATTTTGAAAGTATTTTTTAAAAGCGCCTTCATTTAGGTAAATTTTATAATGATTCTCGCCTCTATAAGAATGCATACAAAATATTAAATTTTTTAAAAATATTTCATGTTTTGAAAGTGTTTGGTGTATTTTGAAAGATGTTTGTTTTGAAGATGGATTGTGAGCAAACAACTAAGAACGTTCTACCTACTCAAAAGTCTTTTGTTCAATTCTCTCTTCCTTTGACATTGATATCTTACCATTGATTGGTAAGAAGCCCTATTTTAGATGTAAAGGGACGGGCGTGGGTCATCGTATAATCATAAGATGCAATGTTGCGAGATACCTTAGCATTTTTCTTAAGGGACTAAGATCATTTGTAAGGCAACATTCGTAGCGTAATCGAGGGACTATGATCTTGTATTTTTAGTTGTTTTTGCTAAGGCATCTCACATGCATAACATGACCATTTTCTCAAGGCAACAAGTGGAGTTAACCCTAGAGGTGCAAGTGTGCAAGTGTTTATTTTTTATGCATTGTTTTATCTTGGATTAGGGTTGTCTAAGCATTAATTTTATCTTGCCATACACACTCTAATTACTAACAATTATATGAAAACAATAAATTTGCGAAAATTAAAGTCCTACGCTGTTACATCATTAGGGGGTGGGGGATACAATTTACAAATGGGGATGAAATAGGAGCTTAAATATTACAATTATATTGAATAGTAATGTAGAAAATATATGAAAATAGATAAAATTGTGTAAAAGAATAGAAAACTCCATTTTTGAATATTATGTGTCGACACATACTCCTTTGCATCGACACATAAGCTTGTATTGCTCCTGTAAATCCAAATCAATTCAGTATGAGTCTATGCATAAGGGTATGTGTCGACCCATTCCCTGCATGTGTCGACTCATACGTGTTTTGTATCGACTCATACACTTTTTATTCCTTCTGTTTTGTCCCTATATAACAGTATGTGTCGACACATAAAGGCTTTGTGTCGACTCATAACCTGTTTTTCCACTAAGATGTGTCGACTCATGTGGGTATGTGTCGACCCATCATGCATGTTTTTCATATTATCATTATTCTGCTGCATGCATGGGTTAGTTCTCAACTCATGGTTAGTGAAAATGAAAGATAAGCATGTGGTTAGCTTCAGAGCAATGATATCTACATTTTATCTTCACAAATGAACCACTAATAACACTTGTATGAAGAGTTAAAAGTCAAGAAGACTTACCTTACAGCTGGATTTTTGTGCTTTGAGCTTGAGTTGCTGTCTTGACTGTTCTTGAGCTTGGAAAAAACAGAGATGCTACAGAAGTTGTTCTTGAGCCTGAACAACCTCTATAGGATGTATGTGTTAGCTCTTAAATTCGACACCCACAACAAATTGGCCTTATGGGCCAAAAATAGATTGAATAAATCTAAGCTGAAAATACTTCGACAGACTGGAAAAATACTTAGAGAAATTTATGAGTTAAAGTTAATCTTCGATCAGAAGGTTCTTGCGGTCTTCGACTGAAAGGGCTCTAAGGCCTCCGACTAAAAGGAAACCTTGTATCAGCAACGGGTGATTTTGAATCTGAAGAAAGGAGGGAAAATCAATTCACTTAGCAGTTGAGGAAAGTAACGTGGCATGAAGATAGAGGTCGAAGCACATGCAGAAGACACTTGTCCTCATCCTAGAGCAAAGTAACTCATCGACTGTTACCTAGTTTTTAGTATAAATATAGGAAGTTTATGTAGATCTTCGGGTGTTCAACTAATTATATAAGTCATTCAATACTATTCGAGTACCCACTGCGTGAGAAAGAATACTGAAAATGTACGTTTGAAACACCACATTTTATAATCAAAGTCTTTTACATTTCTCTTTACATTCCTTGCCTTTTTACCTTGCTTGCAAACATCTATTTTCCCTTGCACTTTACTTGCACTTTTTATCAGATTCCCGCACTTAAACTCTTCTCAACCTCTTTTTTATTTACTTTCTACACTCAAAATCATTTCAAACCTCAACCTTTCTCAGTCGAACGTGCGTTCTTTATTTATATTAGCATTTATGTCCAAACAACGTCAAAAATTAGCATATGTCTTAGGATCAAACTGATTGATTCTGCGAGTAACCAAAAAATTATCCTTTTTGGAAGATCAGTGGTTGTTTACCGAATAACACGACAAACAAATTGGCACACCCGGTGGGACCTTGCTAATTTTTATTTTTTTTGTGTTTCTTGTTTATATTAACATAAATGCTTTGCATAATTTTCTTTCTTTTATAAAGTATTGTATGCTATTAAGAAGTGGTAAATTAACCACCAACGAGCGTATAACTAGAAGGAGAAATAGTGAAAGTGAAATGGTTAATCAGCCAAATAATGGAGAAATACCTCCACCAATTACTATGGGAACAACAGTTATATCAACCTTTAGTGAAACTATATCGTCAATCGTTGGTTCGGCACCAACATTAACAACAACTCAAACAGGACCAATACTTTCGTATGCAGGTCCCAGAGGTCCATCAAGAACACCCCCACCAAGGGTGAACCCAGGATCTCGACCATACATACCCCCAGGATTTTCGACAGCCTGGATGGGTCGAGACCAGCCTTATGGTATGCAAACTACTGAAATGGCTAGTCTTATGAATGTTGTGTCTACATTTTCAGAACCTTTGGTTAGTGCGTCTTCGCCATTACAGGGATCTGGAACTGGTATGGCAAATTTGGGTAGAAACCAACTCTTAGGAGGGGCATCCCATGCAATGCCAAGCCTCACAAATGCTTCCACAGCAGTTTTGAGGCAACAGATGGATGAAAGCAACCATGATATGGTACAAATGTTGGCCCAAACTCTGAGTACAATGTTGAACCCTCTAATACAAAATACCACCCAGTCGAACCAACAAATGTCAACGCAGATGACGCGCATGGCTGAATTTTTTGGGGTTCCCCAACCTATTCGACAACCCCAAAGAGCACCAATAAGAGAGAATCAAGATATAGTCTTAGAAGAAGATGTAACCATTAACTAAAACCCACAGTTAGATAGGAGGAACCACAAAGTGGAAATCAAACAACCTAGGGTCGAAATACCCAGATTTCCCCCACAGATCCCTAGAGATAGCGATCAATGTGTAATGGTGGTAAATAGAAACCAAAATGTTGACGAACTGATACAATAGGTTCAACACCATAATTAT